ATGTGATTGAAGAGGTTTCCTCACATTTTCAATTGATATGCCTATGAAGCGGTATTCTTTGATATTTTTAATTTAATTATTTTGGAATACTTACCGTAATTTTTGAAAAAACGTAAAGTATAATTTTTATGATAACGTTGTCAAAGTTAAATACATTTTGGAATATTTCTTCAATAAAACTTTTTTGAAGCAGTTTCTCGACCATTAGATCTTTACTTTAGTAGATTATACTAAAGAAAGTAACACTTGGAGGCCCCGACGATATACTGCTAAATAATTTACAAAAGGATGACGTCACATGAGATCTTGGTTCTAAAACTCCTTAAAAGCTCTTTTGATACTTACTGTGGTGATTTAGAAGCTTCTCTAAAGCACACGAACTCAAATATAGCAAAGCTGCAAGGTACGTTTAAGCTGTTGGAAAAATTAAATGATGAATTCGAGGAGGAATGTAATAAAATTATATATGGAAAACCCGAAGAAGATATCGCAAAGGTGATGAGAAAGTCTCATGAAGCAACGACACAGTTTATTGCTAAAGAATCAGTTAGCTCACATGGACCAGTTAAATGTTCCAAAATAACATCCACTCTAGGGATACAAATTCAGGATGCGCAAACGACTGCTGTTTTATTATAGGTGGTTGTCATATATTGTATTATCCGAGTTCCGCAGTGTATAAGCTGGAACATAGAAATCAAAAGTGCCGACGCAGAGTGAGCGAACTGATTCTTTAGCTATAAACTGTGGCAACGATAAGGTTCAGCGCGCTAGCTTTTGATAATAATAAGATCTTAACTGAACCTACATTTGGAAAAGCTTCTTTAAGTCGACCAAAACTAAATCTCCCAAAAATTGATTTTAAAAAGTTTGGTGGCGATATTAAAAATTGGATACAATTATGGAGTTTATTTAAGCATATTCATGAAGATGATAAGATGGAAGACGACGACAAATTTCAATATTTGTTGCAGGCTACCAATTCCAAAGAGAATCGGACATGCCACGGTACTGACATTTCGAGTATATTTATATGCAGCTTAAAAAAAATTACGAAGGTTTATGATCTAATTCATAATGTCGGTTGTAAAATACCTCTAAATTTATAATATTATTAACTTTTTGATGAGGAAAACTTATGCAAAACGATAAATAAAACACTGGACATAAAAAATCACAGTTAGGCGAGAATCACCCAGATACGTGTTCAGCGATACTCTATCCTTTACTAAAATCAAGTTTGCCAGAAGATGTTTTAAGAACTTGGCAACGAAACTCAACATTTTCTACTGCTAAAGAAAAGGTTAGACAACCTAATGATATTTTTGAAGCGCGAGGTCGAAAATGAAGAGAGAATATTATTAGCTGCAAGCCTCGAGACAAAACAAAAGAAGAAAGAACAAAATATGCCTAGCATTCCTTTCACTACATGTTTATTTAATCAAAATTCCTCAATTTTTGAAAACAATAACCAGAGTTGAAGCCGAGAAGACAACAATGGAACATTTTATTAATACTGTGAAAAGATCAACTGATTCCAGACATGAAGTAAGTCTCCCGTGGAAAGAAAACCACCCTTCCCTATCCACCAATCTTCATTAATAAAAAAGTTGTACAAAGATGGTAATCGTAAAGGATAAAATCGAGTCTTTCTAGAATGGCTAGAGAAAGGGATTATAAAAGAGGTTTCTAAAGAGGACACTACCTACCCCATCGTCATGTTATAAAACTAAGTAGTGCCACTACAAAATTGAGGCCAGTTTTCGATGATTCAGCTAGATAAAATGCCCTAAGTCCATCTTTAAAACAATGTCTGGAGAAAGGAGTGAACTTCATCGAATTGATACCATCCATTTTAATTCGTTTTGAACAACATAGATATGGAGTAATCTTAGACATTAAAAAGCATTCCTTCAAATTAGTTAAGGGCAGCGTCATAGAGACTTTCTAAGATTCCTATGGTATACTGTTGACGGTGAATTGAAAATTTACAGACACGGCAGGGTTATTTTTGTCCTGACTTGTAGCCCATTTTTACTTGGTGCAGTTATTCAACATCAACCTTAGTAAGAGTTTTTATGTTGACAATACTGTAGTCAGCTTCGACCATCGAGAAGAAAGTAAAATTCAAAACGGACGCTTAAAATGCTTTTATGGAAGCACAGATGGATTAAAGATGTTGGGAGTTTACTAAAGAAGAAAACTCCACAGAAAAAGCAACCTTGATATCAGTACTCGGTTTGAAATGGAACAAGTTCCAAGATACTCTTGAAGTTTCACTAAAGGTTTGAAAAGGAGCCCAGTTAAAGAAAATTATTCTTTTAACAGTAATATAATATATATAATATAATCGGATTTGTTTTTATTGCTTTATTGATTCCGAAAGTACTGTTGCAAAAATCATGTAAGCTTAAGTTATCATGGAAGTCCCAGATGACATTAAAAATAGATTTTTCGATTGGCTTAAAGATGTCCAACTTTTAGCCAAAATGAAAATACCCCGATGGATTCGTCAAAATATCAAAGAAGAGTGCGAATATTTATTTTGTGATGCCAGCCAAGAAGCCTATGCTGCGGTAATTTTTTTTTTTCGAATTAAACACACATCAAGCTCATCCATGCTAAAAATAGAGTATCCCCAATTAAGACGATATCAATCCCACGTTTAGAACTCTTAGCTGCCACAACAGGAGCCAGAATGTTGATGTCTGTAAGGAAAGAATTCGATGATAATGTCCCTGTTTATCGTTGGATCGACTCTTCTACAGTTTTAAGTTGGATTAAACGAAATGAAATTTGGAACCCCTCTGTGAGAAATCGTATATTAGAAATACAGAAACTAACCAAAGAAGAATTCTGGTATTACGTTCCAGGATCTATGAATCCGGCAGATCTACCTTCCAGAGGTTGCTTACCCAAAAAACTACTGAAAAGTAAATGGTGGAATAGTCCCATATGGTTACTAGAACCTACAGAGAAATGGCCCAATAAAACTTATGTTATAGACGAACAAGCTATTTTAGAAGAGAAACAAAAAGGAGTTATTAGTTATTCATAATGTCATGATATCCCTAATCCGACCTCGTGCCTGTGTACGCACGCGGCCTTCACATGGCAACCAATTCGTGATCGAAGCAACGCTGACGTGTGGAAACAGCCGGACCGCGTCTCGAATGTCTGCCGCTGATTCACTCGAAACATCTGGAATGGCGGGGAGTGCCGTTTAGTCATCTTCGCGAAGTCTCTAGCATTTTCCAGTAGCGGAGTTAGACTAATATAAATAGCCGACGTATCAGCGCCGAGTTTAGTTTAATGTATAACATTGGATTGAAAAGTTAAAGTGTAAGAAATAAATTAGAATTGTTAGTTAGTGTCTAAATATTACATAAATTAAATAGTACGTCTGAAATAAATTGTAAATAGTGTGTTTTTAAATAAATAAACTTTAAATAAATTAGACTTTCGTCACAACAATAAAATTGACAATGGTTAGTTGAGAATGGTTGCTTGGATAAGATTTATTTTAAATTGAAAATTTCAACGAGAATTGCGGAATTTACACAGCTTTCTATAATTAGAAGAATTGTTGGAATCAGAAAAAGTCGTGATTAAGTTGATTCAGCAAGAAACTTTTGGAAATAATGAAGAATACTTGAAGAATTTGATACACTTTAAAGATGAATTTGGAATTCTCGGAATAAAAACGATGATAAGCGAAAGAGAAGATACACACTCTTTTATATATCCAGCTGTACTGCCAAATCAACATTTTATGTTGACACGCCTCATTGCCGATCGACATGTTAGACTGTTACACGCTGGAGATCAAACTGTCTTAGTAAGTCTAAGGGAAGATTACTGGATTCTTGGAGGGAAGAAAACCGTCAGCTCTGCACTTTCTAAATGTTTGATTTGTAAAAAACAACTAGCAAAAAAGATTCAAGCACCTCCGATACAACTACCTAGAGATCGAGTTAAAGACGCATCCGTATTTAAAGGGATAGGAATTGATGCCGCTGGACCATTGTTTGCTAAAGACAAAGGAAATATTTGGATTTTAATTTTTATCTATCGATTTTAATCTATCGAGCTGTCCATTTTGAGATGATTACATCTATGTCCACCGATTGTTTTTTATTGGCTCTTCGTCGCTTTATTGCCAGACGAGGTCGACCATCATAATCTACAGCGATAATGGCACCAATTTTGTTGGAGCAGAAAATGTCTTTTCTGAGCTAGATAGGAACACAATTTGCAAGAAAAGTACTGCTGAATGAATAAACTGGAAATTTAATCCTCCTTCAGCAGCCTGGTGGGGAGGATGGTGGGAACGGTTGATAAGGATCTTGAAACAGTTATTAAGATTTTGGGTAAAGCTACCCTCCCTTATGAAGAACTAACCACTATCATCTGCGATTGCAAAGCAGTTGTCCTTTAACTTATTTGTCCGAAAAACCAGATGATTGGCAACCGTTGACTCCTGCAATGTTTCTGCACGAAGTCGCAGAAGCAGTAGTACAAGATATGGACCAAGTAGAAGCCCAGGATTTGAGACGCAGATGTAGATATCGACTAAGACTGAGAGATGAACTAAGACGTAGGTTTAGAAACGAATATTTAAGTATCCTTGCTATAAAGAATAGGAAAAAACCAATTAAAAGTATAATTCCAAAAGTTGGAGATTTATAGAATGAAAATTCCAAAAGATTTATATGGCCTTTAGACAAAATTCAAGTAGTGTTCCCTGGTAAAGATGGTTTTGTAAGATTATCACATTTGAGAACGGCTTCTGGGAATTCGATTCTATGGCCAATTCAACGTTTTTACCCTTTAGACCTTGGCGAACCAGAAGAAGTCCAGACTAAAGAAAGCAACAGTGGTAATATTTATCTATATGTCTATTTCTTTTTCTTAGTGTATCTGAAAAACGAAAAAATAGTATCTTTAAATATAAGAAGAATCGACGATTACCTATTTTAAATTGAAAATAAAAATATTTAGGATCTATTATTTATTAAATCACTATTTGTAAAAGTTTTAATATAAAACAACAAATAAACTTATTTATCAATTACGGCTCTAACTCCAGTCTTCTGTAACAACCACTAGGAAGTTTCTCTACAATTTGCTCTATATTATCAACTTCTACTTCTAACATCGCTATCTGTTTCTTATACTTGTCAATTAGCTCTTCTTCTAATTTTCTTTCTTCTGTTAGTCGATTTAATCGTTCGTCTAATTTTGCACGGCGAATTCTTTCTTCCGTTATCTTAATTTGTTCTTCAAGTCGGTCCACATCCTTCTCATCTATGCCAGGTGAATTTTGTAATTCGAACATTATATTTTCTATGTCAGAAAGAAGTTGATGTACTTTATTGGATACTTCTTCGGTATCTCGTTCAGCACGTCCTACCTAAAAATATAAAGAAATCTTATTTTACTTATACTTATTCTTTTTTGAAGCATTGTTTTGGAATTATACGTTGAACACCACAAGTTTCCTTGGTAAATATTGAGTAGCTACAAATTTAAAATGTTATAGATTCCTATTAGTGATAACAGTAATAACATAATTTGTATTCCAATAACAAAAGACAGTGACAGTAGATTAAATTTAAAACTTAGGAAGGGAGTGGGTGAATATTGTTACACAGGTTTTTGGTATCGCAATTTATTTCAACTCAACTTTAACAACAATTATCAACTGATAACATTAACATGTAACGTCTATCATAAAACTGAAAACTGACGTCAGGATCATCCTTATATAGTTTGCTTGACCCATCTCGAACCTTCTTGAACTGTCGTCTAGAATATTCTTGACGGGTAATGACATTTCCAGACACTACTGGAATATTCTATCTTCTTTTACTTGTACTTTTACTTATAACAACCGCAGCACACTGTAGGGGGATGAGTAACATTCCACTTCTTTTTCTATCTGTACGTTTCCTATGATAGCCGCAGGCTACTGCAGGGTGCTGCGTAACATTATGGTTTAATTCTGGGATTCCAAATCCAAGGGTCCGGAGTTCAAATGCCATCGTTGAACGTGGTTTTTCTAAACAATTTAATTTATTAAAAATTAATTCGGAAATGGAGGTAGGATTCTCCACTTGAGTATTTACGGTTGGTTTCTAATTATTAACAGTGCTGTTCCTAAAGTGGCGCTGGAAAACAGTAACAGAGCCTATACAAAACAGGCCGAATAGCTCTGGCAATTGATGCCTCCAAAATAGAAAAAAATAGGCATTCATTAACATGTTGTTTTTATTATTTTCAAAATTGTATTTATTTAAAGATTAAAAACAAAATATAAAAGTAATTTTAAAAAACCGACTCCAAAATCGTACAAATGCCATCAAAAATTGGATGTGTTGATTTTCACATAGATTCCATCATCAGATCTTGACCAAATATATATGGGACCTCTCCCGAGGTACCTCCTTTCTAACAAAAAAAGAATCATAGAAATCGAACAAACTACTAAAGTATTATCGCTGAATATATCTAACAAATGAAAAGTTTAATGATTTTCTCATGGATCCCATTATCAGATCTTGACCAAATATATATAGGACCTCTCCCGAGGTACCCCCTTTCTAACAAAAAAAGAATCATAGTAATCGAACAAACTACTAAAGTATTATCGCTGAATATATCTAACAAATGAAAAGTTTAATGATTTTCTCATGGATCGCATTATCAGATCTTGACCAAATTTATAGAATCATAAAAATCGGTCAACGTGGTAAAGAATTATCGCTAAACATACATAAAAAAATATTTCGACGAATTGAGAACTTCCTCCTTTCTTTGAAGTCGGTTAATAAAGCGCATACATATTTTTAAACTACTTTCTTGCGACCTGCAAACTATTAAAACGAAAACTAAAAATTGATGGTTTAATTTTAATAACAGAATAGTTTTTTTTTGTTAAAATTTTACTGTCATTGGAGCATAAATTACGTTACACTAGTAAATCGTATTATAATATCACTGTTAAATACAGGGTGTCCCAAAAAAGTAGGCCAATCCGTTAAACAGAGATTCCTAAGAAACCCCTATTATTATTTTTAATTGGGGCCATGATATTCAATATACAGGGACTTGCAACTAGCGCCCTCTATGTGTTAGGTGATATTTAGGCTCAAATTATGATTTTTCATCGAAAAAAACCCCTTTGGTTAAAAAATGTTTGGCGATATCGTCGAAGAAGTTTCTTTATTTTTATTTTCTCTAATTCAGATAATGACCAGCAACTGCAATCATTTAGTCAAACTTGTCTCCTTTTAATTATCCGATTCTGGTTTTTTTCTTGATGGTCATTAACGTTTATCACACGTACTGGAATTTTTTTAGCAGTCGTGATCAACCCCTTTCCGAACAGAATCTTCGACCAACATTTTCATCCTGGTTCTAAGGTTTCACCATGACAGGTGTTCCTTGTTCCATAGTTTTTTGCAGTTATGCTACTCTAAAGGTTTTACTTATACCAAGTACCACCATATCTTCCTGTACAGCTACTGACACGGTACTATCCTGATACGGATGAAGGAGTACCTTTAGGGCACCTTATTCGCTATGATCGAAAAATCCTACTGGAAGCCGTGCATTACATATTCGATATTGCGACAATAACAATATAAGTGAACTTTTTTGTACCAATTCCCAATTGAACCTGGATTTGTCCCTGAATGTTGGTCACTTTGACCTGTGGCAGTCCGCACTCATAACCTTGTTAGTAAAGGTTTCTTGAGATTATTTGTAGTTTATAGTTCTATAATGATCCTGGTTGCTCCCTGATCCATCAACAGTATATAATGTTTACCATTTGGAACAGTTTCGGGTTAAAGCAGCCATCCTTAGGCCGGCCCACTCCTAGTTTTCCTGCTGTGTATTTTTTTGAATTGTTGTGACCCTAGGGTGTTTCTACTTCCTCTTTCTTCATTGCCATCTATTTTATTTTTTCCTTAACTGAAGACATCTTAATGGAAGACATTTCAGAAGAATTTCCCTTTTTATAGACACCATGTAACATTCCAATTTGGAAGAAATTTCGTTCTTCATCGAAGTCATAACAGAAGACATTTCAGTTTTAAAAAATATATTAGAAGATACTTTATGTTATAAAGAAGAGATAAGAAGAAATCTCAATACTTTATTTTCTAAAGAAGAAATATAATTTTTTAAAGAAGAAACATCAGAAGGAATTCCATTCTTCAAAGATGGGATTTCACATTTTAAATTAAAAGAAATAATTGAAGAAACTATAGCAGAAGACGCATCATCCGAAAAATCAATATGTTTTCGGATTCAAACCCTCACTTACTTTTGCTTGTTTAAGCCGTTCTATCAACTCTGCTTGCTTTCCTGTCTTTTCCAGTTCACGTTCTTCTAGTTCCTTACATAATTCCGCCACTTTTAAATCACACAGTTTTTTTACCTAGTTTTACCCACTATTTATTTACAGTACGAATGCCAGTTCTGACATCAATGTAGCGTTTATTTTTTTGAATAGTTTATTTTTAATTTATTAATGCATAGGTAGGATTCCCCCTTCGACCATCCGCTGTTGGGTTCTAATAAACAGTGCTAAAGTGGCGCTGGGAAACAGTACAAGGCATGTCTGTAGAGGTGCAGGAGTATTAGAGTACTAGCAACTTCTGCACTATGGAGTATTAGACTACTAGTACAATCTATAACCTACATAGAACACGAGGCTAATGACCTAAGTTGTCGAAGCCAAAGAGACCAATGAAAAAAAAGTTATTATTTTAATTTATTATCCATTTAATTTATATTTACTAAGACACTGATCCAATTTAAAACTTGTTTACTATGACAACATATAATCCACAATAGATCTGAAAAGGTCGAGGTGGGGGAGGCTACATGGCCCACAGTCCTAATTAAATCTAATGACAACATATATCTTAATACAATATCTCAGCTTAAACTAAACTTAAATAACAAAACAATCTTATTTTACTATATGCAAATCTGGCCATCTCGAATGTTCTCGCACCCGCCAGAATATCCATCATGAATATCACCATTTTTCAGAACAGCGCATTCGTTAAAATAGATAGCTCTAGTATTTTCATCATGGCTCTACTTCTTTCTAGAATGAATGATTCAGTCCAACTGAAGGCGACGATGGGCGTCCCTAAAGTGGAGTTTCGGCAGTTCTTTCAAATATGTTCAGCACTCAGAAAAGTGGAAGCCGTAAGAGGCACAAATAAGCAGAGACGGACTTAAGCGATTAGAGAGCATGACCGGACTGACTGAAAATAGCTCGTACGACAGTACTTCTGTTTTTTAAAGATAATTTAAAAATATCCTATGATTAGCTTTGGTTATGGATATTATGACAATTGTTAAAGGTAAAAATACCAAATAAATTCAAGATTATCCCCTATTTGTGTCAGAAAAAAGTGAGACAATGATAATTTCTTACCTTTTCCTTGGCTTCGTTTACTAAACTGGTATTACTTCTTGTTTTCTCAACTAAACTTTTCAGTTCTCCCTCTGTATTTTGCACCCTGTCATACATTAATCCAGCTTCTTCCACCAAGGCAGTTGCATTTTTATATAACAATTCGGATTCATGCTTTACATTGTCAGCTTTAATTGATGCATTTTTGGCTAAAGCATTTGCTTGATGAGCTTTTTGTAAAGCTAAATCTGCATTTTTTGCTGCCTGGTCCAAATGGTCTTGATATAACTTCGTTTGATTGGAATTGTGGTCAATAATGGATCGTATTTCAGAAATTGTTTGCAGGGCTTTCTCGGCTTCTTCTTTGTTCTTTTTAGTTTGTGAATCAAATTCTAAAATAAAAAACTTAACATATTAAACCCCTACTATTTCAAGATGGTGACGTTTCACCCCCACCGTTTCGCCCCTGCCGTTTCGCCCCCGCCGTTTCGCCCCGGCCGTTTCCTCCCCGGCGCCGATTGGCCCCCGACCGGTTCGCCCCCGTTATTATTTAAGCCTAAGAAATGTTATTATGTTATAATTTTAGTTCAATATTGTATGAATTGTTTAAAGATTGAACACTTCAGGTGTAGTGGTATAAATACAGATGGGGGATCCAATACTGAATACTATCAGTCGTTACTATTTTTTGAGTGAGTTAGTTAATAAATTCAAACACAACAGATAATGACAACTGCTTTAGAAAATGTTCACGCAAATATATCATCGTTGCTTTCTAAAAAGGATCCTCTCAGAAAAGTTATCCAAAGAAAAAGAAAAGTTGAATACGTATCGACACCTATTTGGGGGCAATTTTTTTGTCAGAATCCTTCAAAATTATGTCAAATAGTATATGAATGGACTCATTTTTATCTACAAAAATTCTTGGGGGCGAAACGGTAGGGGGGCGAAACGGTAGGGGGCGAAACGGTATGGGGGCGAAACATCCAAAGGCGAAACGGCGGGGGCAAAACAGTGGGGGCCAAACGGCGGGGGCGAAACGTAATACTATGTGACTATTTCATAGGGACAGTATTGCTATTTCTTAAACGGTAACAGACAGAAAGTTGGTAAAATTGGACAAAAGTTGCGCAGTTTTATGTTTATTAAAATGGTGCAAAGAAACCTTTAATATCTACAGGGAGATTCAAAATATCGGACAAAAAATGAATGAATTTAGGGAAATGACATATTTCATTTTTGTCCGATATTTTGAATTTCAATAGAGATATCAAAGGGTTCTTGGCACCATTTTAATGAGCATTTTATAATTTTTTATCTTTCGTAAGTTTTTAGAGATTTAACCAACATTATTTTGATATTTTGAATTGAGAGCAAATTAGGATTAAGAAAAAAATTATTTATATACTAACAAAAAAATAAGGTTAGCAGGAATTTTTTTTAGGTAATATAAGTATTATAAAATTAATTTAAAAGTGACGGAAGCTTTTTATTATTATATCGATCGGTAATAGGAGAATGGGCGTAACTTCCGAATTGCAAATTTTACAGGAGACAAAAAAATTCTTTTAGGTAATTCCAAAACTTGGGCTACTTAATTTTGTTTTCAGAAACTCATTAGCAAATTCTTATTACTCAAAATTAAATATTATTATTATATTTATGTGGGTTACGCCTTTTGCCTTGTACTATGTTTGGGGTTTCACTATTAACCCAATGTCGCTTACGACGTCTCATCAGTTTTTAAATATTTTATTAGAATCAATAATTGCGCCAAAATCAAAATGTTTATTATAGAAATGAACAAACAAAGTATCAGTATTAATACAATATTTATGATTAGTAGATATTTTAGTATATTTTTTGTTTCGTTTTGGATTCTTTTTTAATTTTGTTGACTTTTTTGTTTCTTTGGGTACTCTTGGCAACGTATCATGTACAGTTTCATCCACCGAATTATCTTCTTCATTAGTTTCAGGTAACACATCTGGTACACTATCGGAAAATTTCACCGACTCATATTTTGCTCTATACATCGGTGATATAGAATTATTAGGAACGGAGTAATCAGACGATAGTCTATAAGCTTCAGGACCGAAGATACTTGGGATATATCCCAGGATGAAATGAAAAAGAAGAACAGTTTTGTTAAAAACTTTAAAACTACACAGCTGAAAGAATAGAGCCTAGAATCTATCGTGCTTACAACTGAAATAAATGCTATTCAGTGATATACAGATGGTTCCAAAACCATATAAATAACTGGAATACGAAAGTATGGGCCCAGAACCAGGCACTCTGAAAGTTTGGGAAAATAGCCAAGCGGAAAATGTCACTATTGAAAAGTGTAGGGGAGAGCGGGGCACAGTGGACACGGGGGCACAGTGAACACACTTTATTTAAACTGTATTTACGTCGGAGTAATGCGACAGCCGTCGGGTATAACGTGACAAATGCTTTCCTCAATATACTGTTTAAATTTTGATTCAGTCGGTTAAAGAGTTTTGAATGATAGATAGTTTAAAAATTGTGAAGTGTGCAAGTAAAATATTTTATGGTTAGAATTCTTGTTTTATATCCTGCATCTCATTACTTTTTGAAATGTTTATATTTATGTCACGTACAGAATATCTCTGTGCACATTTTGATATAGAACGTAAGCAAAACAAATGACGGTTTTTCTACTTACGTATACGGGGTACAGTGGCCACCACAAACAACGGGTACAATGGTCACTGCTACCATAAACATGATGTACAGTGGTCACGGCTTTATTTACATATAGATTAATAGTATACACTCCATTACTGATGTAGATGTTTTTCTTTTAGAAAATGGTCTGTAACCGAAAACGAAAAAGTAGTATTGGCCTTGTTAAACCACAAACAATGTTTGCTGGCGTAGTTGCAGTAATCAATGGGATTTACAGTTTAAAAAGGGCAAATCTCACTTTTGCTATCCCAAGAAGCACATTAAAGCGATACGTAGCTAAATGCAAAAATTTAAATATAGACTGGGACAACGCAACTTTAGAAGATCTTCCAAAACTTTATCCACAGAAAGTAAAGAAGAAAATTCAAATATTTAAAATAAGCGCAAAACTTCATCATGGTTTACCCCCAATCGCTGTAAAAAAACTTGCATAACAACTAGCAGTTGCAAACAATAAAAAATTTCCAAAGTCTTGGAAAAAAGAAAAATGTGCTGGACGAGATTGGTTTACAGCATTCTTAAAAAGAAATAAAAATATTTCAATACGAACAGCTCAGTCAACATCACTGGCTAGATCAATGGAATTTAATAAACCAGTGGTAGATGGATTTTACAAAAAAACTTGAAGAGCTGTATTCGAAATTTAAGTTTAGTGCAGATAGAATATATAGTGTGGACGAAACGGCTTTAACTACAGTTCAAGATTCTCCTAAAGTTGTAACAGCAAAGGGCCAAAAGCAAGTTTCACAGGTAACATCGGCAGAAAGAGGGGAACTAGTAACTATGTGTGGAGGAGAAAGTACAATAGAAAACGTTATACCTTCTCTGTTAATATTTCCAAGAGTTCACTATAAGGAATTTATGCTGAAGGGTACCCCTTGCTGTTCTATAGGCTCAGCTAGTCCATCAGGTTGGATGTTACCCGACATTTTTAACCGGTATTTGGAACATTTTATACGATATCTCTGTCAAAGGTATTGATTTAGCAAAAGCAAACGGTGTTGTTCACAATTTCCCCTCATACTAGTCATAAACTCCAGCCATTGTATCGTATAGTCTAACATCCGAAGTAAGGTCAACCTTCACCCATCTGTTTAATGGATAAAAGTTTCTTTTTATTAAATAAAATATGTTTAAAAATATACTGCAAAAGGGTTGCCTAAAAAAATACGGTCCAGACTATTTATTTTCTTAAAATAATAAAAACGACACCCTGTAAAGTCATTCCCAAATGCTTCGACTATGCCTAAACTTTAATCAGCTCACCGCAGGCTAGATTAAAGCTTAAATTGAAAATTTGGTGTTTTTCTCCTTATCCGTTTTTGAGTTGTCTTTAAAATTCCAAATTTTCATTTTTCCTTAAATATCTCGAATTAGGTCCATTTTAGGGAAATCATGTATAGGGACAAAATAATATAGAATGACATCGTTAGTAACTTTTATCATGATTTCTATACTTTTCTTACCTGTATACAGAAAGAAAAGCAAAAAATGGCCGTGACCGTATTTTCTTAGGCAACCCATTTGCGGTATATTTAAAAACATATTTTATCAAATAAAAAAAAAACTTTTTTCCATTAAACAGATGGGTGAAGGTCGACCCTACTTACGGATCCTGGGCTAGTAGAGTGTATGGCCCATTAAACAAATTTTATAAGGATGCCTGCAATTCTTGGTTATTACAAAATCCAGGAAAACGGATAACATTTATGATATTTCATAAATATAGGGAAAGGCTTATTCATTGGCATTTTCTTTAAAAAATATTACATCCGGGTTTAGTTCAACTGGTATATATCCTTTTAATAAACATAAATTTGGCAAAGCTGATTTTTTGGCTGCATCAGTCACTGATCTAAATCCCAGATTGCAATCAGATAATTTAAATGCAGAACCTAGTTGCTCTTCTGCAAAAAATATTGCAGAATTTCTCAGAAACCTCAGATTGCTTCTTGTGTAATAGAAAAATCAAATGATCAACCAAGTGGCTCAGGGATGACGGCTAATGAAAGATGTGTAACTCCTTCAGTATCTTTTGTAACTTGTAAAACCGTTCCCAAAAGTAACAGCGTTAAAGACTAAAAGAAAAAGAAAGGAAAAGACAGTGTCTGAGGTTCTCTTACTACCACTATTAGAGACAGAATTTCGGAGGAAGAAGAAACTAAAAGAATAAAAAAAGAAATGCGTGTAAAAAGAGAAGCAAAATAAAAAGTAAACAGAAATTTAACAGACATCGAAGAGAGCATGACACCAAAAAAGAAAAAAAAAACAGAATTTTATCGATGTGACAGCGACAGTTCTGATTCCCTTGCACCTTTAATGGACGACACCGATGCAGAAGAAGATAATGAAGAATCGGTTCCTTTGCATTTGTTGAAAGAAACAAAATATTTCAAAAGCAATGATTTTATTTTAGTAAAATTTGCGACGAAAAAACTATGAAATATTATGTTGCGCAAAACCAAGAAATGGATAATATTAAATTGATAGTGTCTTATTTGAGACACAAACTTGGAAGGTTTGTCTTTCCAGACGTTGAAGATGTGGCAATAGTCAACTTGGATGACGTGGAACTTGCTTAACCAAAACAAATACTTAGTGGAGGCACTGCTCAAAGTAGTCACTCGTACGAGTTTCCAGCCGATCTTAGTTCTTTTAATGTAGCATAAATACCTATGTTTTTGTATTACAACAAACCAGCTGTTTTGTTGTTTTATTTCATCTACATTTTGTTACAGTGTATATAATAGATGTGACCACTGTACCCCACGACTATGTTCACTGTACCCCTGATTGTGGGGTACAGTGGCCAGTTTTTGCATGTAAGAAAAACATTTTTTTCTGGATACCTAGAGTTATTTAAACAAATACTTGCTGCAATAAATAACAGTCTTATGTTCCAATAGACCCTGTGTAAAATTTTGAATTGTTTGTTTGATAATTATGCATCTATTTATCAATTTCAAAAAAAAAAAAAATGGCCACTGTGCCCCGCTCTACTCTATCTAGTTTAACTACGAAAGAAACTATCCTAGACAAGATATTATCATCAAGTCCGAGCCAAGCAGCCATTAAAGCGCTGAGCTATTACAAAATCGGTCGAAAAACTGAATGAGCTGGGCGAGGAAAATACAGTTACTCTCACTTGGGTCCTGGGAAAAAACGAGGTAAATGGTAACGAGATTGCAGATAGTCTCGCAAGGAAAGGGGTTCAAACACCCTTAATGAAACCTGAGCCGTCCTGCGGTATCAGCAGTAACACAATATTAGGAGAGATTAAACAATAATTGGACAGTAGAAGAACCGATAATTGGAACATCCTCCTGGGACTATGACAGGCTAAGATACTTTTGGGTGAATATAACCAGCTAAGATCGAAAGCCTGTAGCCTGAGCACGAACAGGCTACGCATTGTAAACTGAGAGAAGTAGGAAAGGAGGAGGACGACCTCCATTTACATACTATCTGAATGGGTAGCAATCCATAATCCAAGGGCACTATACTTAGGAGCATATCAAATAGAAGAGGGAGATTTACCTAACTTGGAGTCACTCCAAATCCTACACTTCCTTAAGAAGATAAGATTGGAAGGGTCCTTATAGGCATTGAGACATTTCCTTGCTGCATTAGCGACAGAAGGGAGAACAATAGATCTTTTAGGTAGCAGTCCCAATATAACATAGGTTTATTTCAATTTGTGTGAGGCTTACATCAATTGACAGTTATTTTTTTTACTGTTTTGTGACTTGATATTTAATTTTCTCACTTTTGTGCTTTTGTATGGCTTACACCTAAGGGCTACGCCGATGGACTTGTCCCAGTATATCGAAGAATTAGATTATGAAAACAATGTCTATTTCCCATTTGGGCACTTTTTTAGTTTATGGGCTACGCCAGTTGACCAGTCCGTAGAGAAATATATGTAGTCTGATATAATGACGGTAACGCCATTTACCAAAAATTGAGGGTAACGCCTATTGACCTATTACCAATCGATATAATATATTTATTAAAACAAATATTTATAAAACCTAACTTTGAATTTGAAAATTACCTTTTAATAACTGATAGTTATTTTCCGCATTATCCCAGATTTCGTTCCATAATTTTATAACTCCGGTAGCCTGGCTCTCATATAAAACTAGATCATTTCTCAAGTCCATAAGCTCTTCAAATTGATCTGATGCTTGTTGCATTAAATCTTTTCCGAATAATAATTGTTTTGAAATATCCTTCTTTAAATCTGCACTTTCTTGAAACAAGATATTTGACCTTCTTCTTAACAGCACCGCTTTCTGTTGTAATTCGACAGATTTTTCTTTAAACTCATCAACGTTTACGTTAGGAATAATTAAATTTTCAACTTCATTAAATAATGTTAAAGCGTTCTTTTTTACTGTCTCAGTTTTTTCTTTTACGTTTCTCATCCATTCCTTAGACGAATGTATTTGTTTATCAGTTTCTTTCATCTCATTTTTTAATTGTTTGATAAATTCTATTAGGTGAGATTGTTCCGAAACAGAATCCTTAGCTAACTTGTAGGCTTCTATTGACTCCAGTTTCGCTTTGCCACTAGCAGCAACGATATCATTAGCTTGCGAATCAAGCTTGCTGGCTAAATCTCTAGCTTCGTGTGATATTATTGTCATTTTCTCAGAGTGTTCACCAGCTAACTCTGCTCTAACTTGGGCATTAGTCAAAGATTTAGTTGCCGTATTTAAAATATCATTTTTTATTTCTTGGAGTTTTTCATTACTTTCGTCTAATATTTCATCAGCGTGGTGAATGTTGTTTTTAGTTAATAAGTTGTTAGTTCCGATGTTGTAGACATTTTCATCAATCTCGCTTAAAGAACGTTCAACTTCGTTGATGCTCCCTTTAATATTTTTAATCTTCAGATAAGAACCCTCATTTCCCATTATTTCAGTGATATTTGAATATAGTTCTGATATATCTTTTTGCGTTTTACGTAAATTATCAGGAAATTCTTCGTCGGATATTACTGTGGGTTGGTTTTCAATTTCGTCCAAGATATTTTCCATTTTGTCTAATTTATCGTTATGAATTTTAACCGCGTTTTGGACTAATTTATAACAATCCGGACAGTCTATGCAACCCCTTTGCCTATCGTATTTATTTTCTTTACATCTGTCACATTTTCTACCGTCAACGTTTTCAAAACAGAGACATTGTCCAGTATTATCACATTGTAATTTTTTCGATCCAGCTGGATCACAATAACATTCCTTGCAGCCTTCTGGAGAAAATCCGTATTGCTTCGATTCGCAACGATCACATCTTAATCTGAAAAATAATTTTTATTAATTAATGGTACCACTGAATTAAGGAATGCCACAGTGGAAATTGAAGATGAAACAAGAATACTAGGCATAACAAACTTGAAATTGAACTTGAAATGTGAATAAAAATAATATATAAAGCAAAGAATGCATTTAAGGAAAAAAAGTAATTCATCTCATCAAATACATTTTTAACGCATTATGCGTTAGCCATAATCCTAGCATTGAACAGCTATAATGATGGTAACTACTAGCTACAAATGCAATTTTGGGATCTGATGCTTTTTTTTTTTTTTTTTTTTTTTTTTTTCGATTTATGGCCTAGGTGTATATACCTAATATGCCAGTCTCAAATTTGTGTTTAAATTCTCAATCATGTGTGTTCTGTGTAGGCTTTGTTACTGTTTCCCAGCGCCACTTTAGGAACAGCACTGTTAATTAGAACCCAACAGTGAATGGTCGAGTGGGGAATCCTACCAAGGCATCAGAATTAATTTTAAATAATTAAATTAAATGAAAAAATTCCGGCCAACGGTGGGATTCGAACCTGGGACCCTTGGATCCACAGGCACAGGCTCTAACCACTGAGCCACCCACCCCCCATCTGATGCTTTAAACTGAAAACATCGATGGTATGTACCAGTTTCTCATGCTGCATATTCAAACACCATTTATTATTTACTTCAACACAGGCAAAGCAAGTTTGCTCTTTCAAGCAATATATAATATATTTTAGAGTCGAGATCTTAAAGTTAGGTGATAAAAAGAAACAAAATATTATAAACTTGTGTGTATTTTTATTTAATTTAAAATTAAATCAAAAAGATGATTATAATTTATTGCACAATATCATAGCTTTATGTATGATAAATGCTTTAGGTTTTAGTAAAACTCTACGAATTCAAAGTTATACAAAAGCTCTACCATGTATGCAACATCCAAGATAACTATTTTTACAATATCATAGCTATATATAAAATAAATGTCCAATACTTTATTTAAACTCTACGAATTCAAATTTATGAAGCAACCTAACTTGTTGTTACAAAACCTTTCTCCAGATTCGCTATTACAGCATTCCTTCTTATTCTTGCGACATTAGCAGGATTTAGAATTACGTTCTTTGTGTTGTAGCATTAAAACTACTTATTATGTCGGAGCTGTTCGTTGGAGAGCGTCGCAGGTTCGAAGTTAGAAAATTACATGAGAGAAAACTTAAGATTGAATGAAGAAAAATAGTTTAGAATTTAATTTAGATAAATTGATTATAGGGCGCCACTGGATTCTATAGAATATGAAGTTTCAGGCCTAGAATGCAGAGAAGCCTAGGAGTTCTATGAACTAGGTATCCTCTGTACAATTATATAATATTTGGATAGGTCGTTTCGTTTTTGTCTAAATAAAAACTCAATAATTTAACATTTATTAAACAACAGTTTGAAAAAAATAAAATGAGAACAGGAAAATGAGAGTCTTGACTATATCGCTACCTACCTAATACAAGGGAATTTATTTGTCTCGATTGGCCAATTGACACAATAACTAAAATTTATTTTATGCAGGTAGACTCATTTACTTTAAATGTCTATTTAAAAACGTTGTCTGAAATGACTGACTACAAAAAAAAAATAACTGAACAAATAAAGAAATATTAGGAGCTTATCTGTGAAAGTCCACAAATGGACGGAGACACGTAGGTCGTCTTAGCTTGTCGGCTTGACTCGCGTTTTAAGACTCAAGTTGGCCGATGACTATCGCGCCAAGAACAGGGACGAGCGACGAATCTGAATTGGCAGCACATTAAAGTTTCCTCAGCTTCTCGGGGTTGACTATAGCACCAAGGACAGGGATGAGGGACGAATCGGAACTGATAGCACGGCTATTCAAGTCTCCTCAGCTTCCAAGTTGAATTTGGTTTACATCTAATCCACGAAGATAATTAACCAACATTAATCTCAAAAACCCAAAAAAGGCCTTGCCTTCTACCTAACCTCGATCAACGATCATTCGATTTTTCTCAAAATTTATCTCAGTAATGAATGTTGCATAAGCATAACTTTGATTGAAATTACCTTAAAAGTATGAATAAAAGATGTTTAATGTAATTATATTAAAACGCTACAGTGTTCCTCGCAACAGTCGCTGGAAGTTATTGGTTATTTGCAACAAGTGCACAGTCGACCATGGTTTCGAAGATAAAATCAAGAAAATATTCGCAAGAATACGTTAATTTTGGATTTACCACTACTAAAATAAATGAAAAAGAAAGACCTTTGTGCGTCATTAGTTTTAAAATATTGGCAGCAGACAGCATGACACCTAATAAACTTCATCATTTGAAAACAATTCATAATGAGTACGTTGAATTAAAATTAAACTCACATGAAGAACAAACATCATTCAGAGAGAATATATTAATACATTTTTCTTTAAATTTTGGGCAGGAGTGGATGATACCTTCTGTTCACTGAAAACAAGATCATTTCGTATATTATTGACATTTTCAACATCCTACCTTTGCGAAGCCGGATATTCTGCGGAGGCTGCTTCAAAGACAATGAACCGAGAGTGGCTATTTGTAATATAAAACCTTCTTTTGAATAACTTTGATGTGCGAGACAGGCCCAAGGGAGTCACTAATAATTATTAAAGCTACTTTTAGTTTAGAACTGATGAGTTTATTATTAGTTTTAATTGGAATTTGACAGTACCTACTGACATTTATAATTATTAAATAGTATATTAGTTTAAACGTGTACTGTACATACTTAATTTTTTGTAATATTAGAATGAATATCATTTTGCTTTTCTTTGTGTGAATTAATTTTTTTTTATTAGTAACTATCGTTTTTTGGTATTATACGCCGACACTCGAACGGCGGATATAACTATTGAAATGTTATAAAGAGTTTCTAGACACTTGGAAACACACTATGCATAACAATTTTGAGTACGCTAACACTTATTTAAAAAAAAAATTTTTACCTTAAATTCCTGAAAATCCTTAAAATTTGTTGTCCGGTCTCCATCATAAAACAAATGTGAAATAAACCATTTTCACTGATTTCTTGTTGTAGAAACGGCTAAATATCAATATAAGACCATTCATAGAGCAATAAACCGTACCAAATTTTTTCATAAACAATCAAATTTTCTTATTTTTCATTTTAAGTTTATTAGAAAAATAAATAAACATTAAATTATTTTTAATGACAATTGATGTGTCTAGTTTCTATAATTGCGGTGTTGCCAAATCGAGTAAGAAAACATATAAGTCAGGAAATAATTCGGTTAGTGAAAGTTGGCTGAAAAATTACATAGTGTCCGACCAGCAGGTAAATTTGGATCTCGAAGTGAAAACGTTTGTAGTAATCACAGACATCCGTCTTTTTATTTCATTTCATGATGATTGTACGTTAATTACGGCATGTCGGTACTTATCTAATATTTAAAATACATTTTTTTTCAATTTGAGCTAGGTCCAGGCCGTTGGAGTTTATGCCGGTCGGCGTAGCCAGGTATGGTTTAAAAATTTTCTGGTGGTGGCGAAGCCACCACCTTACAAGAAGTCGTTCCTTCATTTACTTATTGTATATTTTCTTATTATTAGATGCCCACGATACAAGACACGTTCGTTAAAAGTTGGGATCGAGGTTCACTGGTCAGACGCTAATGAGGGTTGGTTAGGTTAGGTTAGGTTTTTCAATTTGAGCTGTGTCCAGGCCGTTGGAGTTTATGCCGGTCGGCGTAGCCAGGTATGGTTTAAAAATTTTCTGGTGGTGGCGAAGCCACCACCTTACGAGAAGTCGTTCCTTCATTTACTTATTGTATATTTTCTTATTATTAGATGCCCACGATACAAGACACGTTCGTTAAAAGTTAAGATCGAGGTTCACTGGCCAGACGCTAATGAGGGTTGATTAGGTAGGGTTAGGTTTTTTTTTCAATTTGAGCTGTGTCCAGGCCGTTGGAGTTTATGCCGGTAGGCGTAGCCAGGTATGGTTTAAAAATTTTCTGGTGGCGGCGAAGCCGCCACCTTACAAGAAGTCGTTCCTTCATTTTCTTATTGTATATTTTCTTATTATTAGATGCCGACGATACAAGACACGTTCGTTAAAAGTTGGGATCGAGGTTCACTGGTCAGACGCTAATGAGGGTTGGTTAGGTTTTTCAATTTGAGCTGTGTCCAGGCCGTTGGAGTTTATGCCGGTCGGCGTAGCCAGGTATGGTTTTAAAATTTTCTGGTGGCGGCGAAGCCGCCACCTTACAAGAAGTCGTTCCTTCATTTTCTTATTGTATATTTTCTTATTATTAGATGCCCACGATACAAGACACGTTCGTTAAAAGTTGGGATCGAAGTTCACTGGTCAGACGCTAATGAGGGTTGGTTAGGTTAGGGTTGGTTAGGTTAGGGTTGGTTAGGTTAGGTTAGGTTAGGTTAGGTTAGGTTAGGTTAGGTTAGGTTTTTCAATTTGAGCTGTGTCCAGGCCGTTGGAGTTTATGCCGGTCGGCGTAGCCAGGTATGGTTTTAAAATTTTCTGGTGGCGGCGAAGCCGCCACCTTACAAGAAGTCGTTCCTTCATTTTCTAATTGTATATTTTCTTACTATTAGATGCCCACGATACAAGACACGTTCGTTAAAAGTTGGGATCGAGGTTTACGGGCCAGACGCTAATGAGGGTTGGTTAGGTTCGGTTAGTTGAAGAGTTTTTAAAACTGGCGGGAAAATTGTATAATCCTTGCAATTTAGAAAATATCAATATTGACGTCGAAGAGTATTCTGCCGATGAGGGCGAGGAAGAAGATCTTGATATGGGTATTTTTTAAATTGTTAGTTTTATATAACTTTTCTAATACTGAAGTCAATTGGTTGGCCTGGTACAACGCAGGGCATAGGTAAAAATTACCATTGCTATGTAATACATAATTGATATGGCAACATTGTATTTCTTTTAGACACATGTCACACTGCCAATGTTAATTGTCATTGCGGTTATGAAAATT